ACTGATCAACGCGAACGCTTTAGCCTTCAATCGATTAGTTCGAAAAGAGGAATCGTAATTAGGAACTGATTCAGGGGTGCATTGATTCTACTGATCTATTACAGTTTCCAAAGCTTCCCAGTTTCTTTGTTTGTGATCGAATAGCTTCCAAATTTCGCCATAATGATACCTATATGCTCACAAGTAATAAACAATAGCTAGAAGAAAAATTTCTCCACGGGGAAAAATTCAGGTCCGAAAGGGTTAAACATTTTCTCTGAAATTTCGATAGAATTTCTGACTAGAACTGGCCACATATCTTGATGTTGCCGAACCACTCCCTATGTAAGCGCATCAAACATCTCGCATAACAAGGTCAACTCCATCCTCCTAAGGATAATCATGGTTCATGGTCATCTCGTTGTTTGATAAAACAATCCCCTCTTTTGGCAAAGCATTACGCTCAGCAGAGTAGAAATTTGGCATCATCACTATCAGCCGAAAGATGGTAAATCCTTCACCGCGCACGAGATTCTCCGCCGCGATGATCGTTCATATACACGTCCCTGCGTCCGCGCCGTATAATCTGCTGGCGCCGTATCTCTCACAATGCGCAGTAATTAATTTGGCGAGATAGCTCCAGCCAGAACTTTTCTATTCGTTTACTTGGCCCCAAAACTCAATTGCAATACATTCGTCGCTTGTATCCATTCGCTACTGTGTAGAAAATGTAATGAAGAATTGTGGGAGCACTCCCATACATTAGGCTTAACCCACTGCAGCTCACAATTTTTAGGCTATCTACATTTCACGGAATCGAAAGGGATATTTGGACACTGTTAATAGATCAGTAGAATCAATGCATCCCTGAATCAGTTCCTAATTAGGATTCCTCTTTTTGAACTAATCGATTAAAGGCTAAAGCATTCGCGTTGACCAGTCCCATTTTGGCATGTGCGAGGTATTCTACTTGAATCGATAAAGGATTAAAGGAGCAAAAGCATTCGCGCTGATACATATCGTCCGTCATAGGCGAGCCGGCCCATGCAGGTGACGAGCGTGGGCAGTGCGCGCACCGACATAATCTACTATCACATTTTGACCTTGCCGACCAAGTGCTTGATATGTTTACGCATGAGGCAAGTACACAATGACTTTGGGGCGGCGCGAGGGACAAGTCCAGTGTTTGTTTATGCTCCAGAACAGCTCGCGTACCAATGTAATCGACCCCGGGCAGGGATTGGAAGGCTTAGTGAGGCCCGACGCGACTCCAGCGAATCCAGATTTGAATCCCAGGAACGCTCAGCGGGGGACTGGCCGCTGAAGTGCGCACTTGTCACCCACCAACTGTACCGCCCCTTGAATCGAATCGATATAGTGACAAACCTGAATGGGGACCTGACGTATACAATGGCTTGCAGGGGCCAGACCGATGTATAATTTCGCAGTAATTTGTTAACATTTTTCTCTCAGAACGGTCTTTTGTTGACATGTGAACGCGACCCCGAGGAATGGAAAGGCGGGGTAGGCCTTCAAGAAATGCACGTATCGGGTTTGAGTTCCTGGCATACAGCGGCACGATGACAAGTAGCGCCATTTATTCACGGTGCTCACCATATTCCGCACATAAAGTAAAGGGAGAACCGGGAAATCAGGAAGAGCGGGTGAGGTTGGATATGTGACCATAGCAAAAGTTTTATCACTCAAAAAGATTCGACGGAGAAGTAAAGGACCGACCATTGGGGTGAGTGATGCTGGTTGACGGACCCGAAGTTTTGTGGGGTTTACCTAGGCTGATTGCCCAGACAGGGAGCGAGTGGAAGTATGTATAATGCGAGAGACATAAGACGAGATTCAACTGAAGCAGAAAAGAGCAGAGACTTCCAGTGAAGAAAAGCAGGGGAGTTGTGTATAAACGATTAGTTCCTCAGGCAAGCGAGGGAAACGGTATGTGGTTTGCAGTGGGGGAGTGGAGACATGAGAAATCTTGTGATGAGTGGGCGGATTGCAGAAGCGTGAGAAAAAAAATTGCCAAACAGAGTGCGTTTGCCCCTAATTTTGTTACATTTTTCTACTTACAGGGTTATTTTGCCGCACGACACTGCGCATATGGCAAAATCTGGCAGTCATTTGCTTAGAATTGAAATTGAGAGGAAAAACGGTCAATAATGAAGTTATAGATGGAGTGTTGGATTGCTAATGGAAAAACGCTAAGGAACCGCCGATGAAGTCTTAGAATAGGGACTCTCCCTCTCTTCTTTGAAATGAGCGAAGGAGCGTTTCGGACGAGCTGTCCGAACTAGCTTGCTGTGCCACCATTTACTGCTGGCTCGTGCCAGCAGAAATGCGGCTGCAATACCAATACATATCCATCAGTGCAACAAAGAAATACAATAATTAAATGATTTAAACAAGTAGAGCGAACGCTGTACAGTTTACACGCAATCGCGCGCAAGGACTAGCACCCAAGCACGCGATCTCGCGGCTGGCAAGCGGGCATTACCGAATATTGTCAGTACGCCTACTTCAAGTCCCTTTCTAGCGGCTTTCCAGGATGAGTTTCTGTTCAGGCACACATGTTGTATTCTTGACTTGACTAGGGCTAGCACCTCATTCCACGCCATTACTATCGAAAGCAAGGACCCTGCTGGGACTGCCACTTTGAAGAAGGATTTCACGATAAATGTGGAAGGTCAAAGGGCGGGAAACTTGAGTAATGGTTCCCAACGATCTAGCATGGCCATCCACGCCCGCCTGCTGGCTAACTACTCCCCCCCCCCCCACGCAGGTCTCTAGCGGTTTAGCAGAGGGTTAGCACCAATGGGGCTAACCTAACACACAAATTAGCAGACAAACAGAAGTTCCATTCTTGTGTTCAAGGCCGTTTTCCTTTATTTTTTATCCATTCCTGCGTCGCTGGCCACATCTATTTTAATTCCTAGTGAGCTGTCTTTTCATCGTAAAGACTACCTTTGATATGTTAGATTTGGTAAGCACCTAATGATTCTCCAACCTACATAAGTTTCATGGAATATTTTGTGCGTACCATTTCTACTTTTCTACAGAACTCCACAACGAAGGAATCAAGTGGTTCGTGTGGATTTCATCAATGAAGAGAAGTACTTGGTTACCGGACTGAAGTCATTCACCCTTTACGAATTCAGCCTGACCACGACGACACGGTATGGCTCAAGCAAATCCGCTAAGGCACAAGAATATACAGGCAAGGGCACTTGATCTTTGAAACTTTAGGTGTTAACCCCATAACCACTTATTTGTTTGTCTGTTTGTGTTTTACATGGCTTACATTTTTAGAACCATGCACGGTTCCACAATCTCTTCGTCTTGAGGCCATCAGCTGCGAAACAGCAACTGTCTCGTGGCGTCCACCAAAGGTCAACAATGGAGCCGAGGTAGTATCAGTGATTCCTACTTTCACTTATCGAGACTTCACAAGGGGCAGTATTTGGACTCTGTCTCCTCTCGTCTTTGATCGATGGTGTGCCCAACTCTTCTTCCTTTCTCAGCTTCCTGCCCTTCAACTTCTTCTTAAGTTAAGTCCTTTTGTGGACAGAAGTTTAGTGGATAAGAAAACTTCATATGTGGCAGAAGCTGATTCCTTTTTGTTCTTAGTGGTAGAGAGCAATACCTAAGGTGCTCCCAGCATAACTAATCCGAGCAGAAGCACGCCCATTGGGAGCGGAGCGTGACTTTAAAAGCAAGCCCCGGGATAAAATGGTGGGTGAGGGCACTTTGTAGTGATGACTGATCTGCGGAAGGAACTGAAAGTGGAAAGTAGAGCAAGAGAAATCGATCGGAATTGCTGAAATTAAGGCCTTAACCTTCAGTAAGTCGGATGTGGTACGATGGCGAGACAGGGCGATCAAAGAAGACAAAATACGCGAGAGAGCACGCTGTTCGAGAGAGCACGCTGTTCTATTTCGATAGCGGTGGGTGGGAAGCGTTGCAGCGAGGGTCAATGGTTGCAGGTTCGTAGGTGGGTACTGTTCGTTACAAATCCTCATAATTTGGTTCAGAGAAGTCCGGAGGCGGAGAAAGAAGTGGATGGGGACTTAGTAGAGGCGCAGAGGTTAGAATTGTTATATTCTCAAGCTATCGGTCAATATTGAGTGAAAATATTACTTTTCGCGCAGAGGAATCGAAATGACTCGCGAGTTATGCCATTGATTGGGCTGAGTCAGACAAGTTTCGACAATACAGGGTCATAGGCTATCGCTCAGTATTAATTAAAAAAATATCTGTTTCCGTGCAGAGAGCTCTAAATGGATTGTAATTAACAGAACCAATTGGGTATTTCATAGGAGCTGAAATTCCATATCCAACATGGGCCATCGATCGCAATTGATTGAGATTATCGGTTTTGTACTGAGGGCTTCGAATGGGTAGCGATTCACAGCATCGATCAATCGATATTCTGTTCGGTTATGGGAAATTGAGAGATATCGGTCAAAAATACCAGCGATCATTCGCGTCACATGATTGCTAACAAATCGGATATTCATGGACTAAACAGAGCCGGCTTTACTCACATGGTACTCAGGTGGACGTGCAGGAGAAATCAAATGTCGGCATATGCTGCCGACACGCCCACTCGTCCGTGATTGGCTACCACCACACGGGTTACTGTGTGCAGACACGAGCCAGCCAGTCATAGACTAGTGGGCGTACCGGCAGCATATGCTGCCGACACTGCTGCGAATCGGTGGTTTCCCCACAAAACAGATAACAAAGGCCGCGGAACGACTGTTACCGTAACCCGTGGCCGCGCCCTTTCAACGAATTAGATGGATTGAACGCTCACTCCACGGACTGCGATAACCGTCTTGCCACCAAAGCCAGCCAACCCTGCGCGCGCTTCGCGCGCAAGGCAAGGGAGGATTAACTCCAACATGCCAGCGAAGCGCGCTCCGGCCAGTTCGACACGCTGCAGCTCGGGTGCTCCGTACAATGGACGGGCTCCGTATCGTCCGCACTGTCGTCGTGGAGTGCGCAGAAAAACGACAAAAGAGGCATGCCGAATGCCACGTGGCATCGATTTGTTGCGGCGGCGGATTACGGTAACAGCCGTTCCTGCGGCCACTGTTATCCGTCTAATGGTTTTCCCTGCACGTCTACCTGAGTGAACTCCGCTGGCTTCACTATGTGGTCCACTCATGCATCTATTCCATCTATTCACTCATCAAAAACCTTGATCGATGGCGTATAGGCTTAATAGATATATTCCTTCCTCTACTGTTGGAGCACACGGCTGCGCTGAACGGTCTACCTTCCGTACTCTACTAACGGCGTCACCGGGCGTTCCGTATCCTTTTCGGATCCGGAACGCCCGGTGACGCCTACCTTCCGTACTCTTCCTTATGGCACTATTCATTCTATGGTATGACCCCTCTCACTTTGAATCGTCTCTTTTCACGACACACTAAAGCAGTGTCTGCAACTCGAACACTATAAGTATTCGTAAGTCTTATTCATTCTAGGAGTCGAGACTCTTTTATAAGCTCTGGGTGAAATAGCAAGTTCCGAAATCGTCACACATATACTTTTACCTCCATTCACCTCCCTAAATTTCAATTAGTATCACTGAACATGGATATTCAACTAGATGAGCACAGTGATGGTCTTTCGCCAGGGATCTCACCCGTCGTTATAAACTTGTTGAAGAGTTGGGTCAGGTAGCGGCACCCTCCAAGTTGGTTCCAGACTTCTACGGAAATGGCGTCAGGACGGGGGCTGCCCCATTCTTCATCGTCTTCACAGCTCATCGACTTCTTGCTCAGTGATGCACGGTACAGGCCAATGAATCTGCGGCTCTTTTGGGAGTGGTGCGGTGGTTGATCCACTGCACTCTGGAATTCTCTTGTAACCGATTATCCGCGCAATATCTCTGATTAGTCGAGTGAGTTGTTTCTAGCCCTTTCTGAGCTCATTGGTATTGGCTGGCAGATCATTTAAGTTAGGTAGTCGCACTTAGCAAGTCCTAGATCTACAATTATATTCTACCTTAAAAGCCCAAAGGCTGATTTTCAGTTGTTTGAAAGCTGGCGGGCTCCTAGGCATTTGACAGTGGCGCCGACGGTACGTCGTTGACTGTTATCGATAGGATCGCTTTGCAATCTAGTCCCTCATTTCGGTGGCTCTTTCTTGCCAAAATATAGTCGATCTGTGCTTTGAAATCTCCACTGTAGTATGTTATCAAATGGGATTCTCTCTTTAAAAAAGAGTTGGTAATGATGAGATCTAGGGATTGGGCATGTACTACAATAGGAGTACCGTCTTCATTTTTCGTACCACGAGCGATCGTCCTAGCGTGTCCTCACATTGATCTTCACTTGTGCCAGTGTGACCATTGAGGTCTTACGTGACGTCAAGATTTCCATTGACTAGGCCTCACGTCATCGGTTGCTCCCAGAACATTTCTTTCACGCTGTTGATCGGAGCGCGTGGAGCGTAAGCGCAGACGATATGTTTCGCTGTTCTGCCGAAGATCATGCCAATGTACATGATGCGATCAGAAATCCTCTGCACATCTTTACAGTGTGTTCCAGTTTTTGTGACACTGCGATGGCGACACCGTTGCTCTTGGCTTGTTGACCGGTGCATATTAGAGCTGTCGATCTTTTTGGTCTTAGCACCTGTACCATTTGGTTTCTTGTAGTGCACAAATATCAATTCTTCTTTCTCTGAGCATTTCTGTTAATTCAGCAGAGCGGCCGGTCAGGGTACCGATGTTGAGCGTGGCAATCCTGACGATCTTGTGTTTGTCCTTTACGGAGGACTTCCTAGCATGTGTATCCATTACGGTGGACGTCCTAGCATGACCCATTACGGTGGGTAACCTAGCATTGATCGGGATGCTTGAAAAATCCATTGATCATAGTTTTGCAGAATTTGAGGCAATCTCTTGAGTGAAGTTCTGCTTCTTCTATCCTCGGCGAGCATCCTCCGAGTTATTCAGCCGAGGCTGTTGCAACTTCCACGCCACGTTAGGCAACGGATAGGATTTTTGGGAACAATTTAGTCCTTATTATTTGTTATGTTTATGCCGCTCACCATCAGTGTCTGCGGAGCTAGTCTTACTGCCGACGCGAAGACTACAACGAAAGATATTGTTAAATTCTAAAGTTTCCTCCCTGCCGTTTTTGATTATTATCACTTTTATCACCCAATATCCGTGTTCACGTAAGACCTATGCAGTCCTGCATACCATTTCTGTTCAAGAGTCAAGGTTTGAAATTCACCGCAAAGGCTGCAAATGGGTAGTAGTCGCAGTCTAACGCCCATTATCGGTTCTTGACAGTTACTGCCTGCTACCTTTTCTCACTCACCTTTCCGGTCACCCACATAACATACATGAGTACAAACATGTTACTATCAATGCGAAGGGCGTATCGAAGCTGCTTCTGCATTCAGGAGTACATTATAGCCCTTATCGCTTGCTGTCACCTTTATCCGCTTTCTGTTGGGTACCCGTCCCACACAACATAGTTCTTATGCGTGCAAACTCTCTACAATTCGAGTGCGAATTCTTCACTGTCAACGAGAACTGCACACGATCTTGGTGATATCGGCTTTCCGACGCCCGTTATCACCTCTAGTGAGTAGTTGCCTATTTCGCTCGCACACCGTCGATTTATGTCAAGTCCCATATCCCCTAAAAGTTTGAGCGCCCTGGGCTCGAGGGGAGTAAAGTAATGAATTTCCGATCAGGCAGACAAACGCACGCACACAACCGCTCAGTGGATTGTGTACAGTAGGATGCTTAATGACTTCTGCCCATAGGAAAGAGATACTTTATAGGTGATGTGATAGGGAAGTCGACAAAACCTATTTCAATAGTTGGTTTATGGAGAATTTAACGATGCAGAAAGTAGTAAGTCAGAGGCGATTAGACCTCCCAGCATTCCGAATCTGAACTTTTCAGAGTTACGTCATTCAGTTCACCCAAGAGCCAGCGCCGCAATTTGCATATTGGAACAGGTACAAAGTCGGACAGTCAACCAAGTTTACGCTGACTGATTTGCTTCCGGATACCAGGTAAGAGCTAAGAAACCATTTCTTTCTCCTTCTGCCATTTGTTGATGCTCGCTAATGGTCTAATGAAACGAAACGAACTGACACACGAAAATGTTCATTTCGCCATAAGCCAGAAATTAGTTCAAGTTGATGCGTATTTTCAAAATTCGCGTATTTTCGAAATTTTCCGTCGCCTAGGGTGTGCAATGACTAGTGTTATGACATTGAATGCAGAATTAAGGTTTTCTTCAATATTATTCGATATTGCTTCCTATTTTTAGCTGTTATAAGAGCATGAATATTGAGACAGCGTGGGTTTTCAATGAATAACACTGTCTATGATCAAATCCTATGAAACTAAATACTTTTCTGCTTAACTAAATATCCATTATTGGTGAAACATTCTTCATGAAACGTCTTCCACATCGAGAAGATTTCCAATGTTGAATGATTTGACGTCTCGATTGATTCTTTGGCATTTTGAGTTCAAATTACGTTGGGACGAACAAAATGCGTCTGGACGAATTCCGAATGATAGTATTGGTTAAAGGGATTGTCAAAGGAAAAATAATGATCCTATGCCATCCATAAAACACGAGCTTGAGACCATCATCCACGATAAGAATGAAAAAAATTGTGTTAGTTTCTCGAGCAATTGGGAAAATCCGAAGGACTTAAACGCGTTCGAATTTATATTCATACATCTGTCATAAATGTTGGCGACGGGAACAACTCCGCTTAGTTCTCGGTTCACCTTTACCAGGAACTTATTTTGAACTTTTCCACGTCGGGGAATAACATCTCTTTTTCCACTCATTCTATTTCTTCGATCGTTTTGTGTCTATGCCCCAAATTCGAGCGCTAACCAGATTCCTTCAACGCTTTTCCCAATATGTTGCCAACATGTCCCAAGGGTACTTTTTTCCATGTGTTCCTTCACCACTAATCTCTCATGCCGGAAAAGAATGCAAAATACCCTGGGAACTATCCCTCTGAAGGAGTATCCCACGACGAAGACAAAGGAGCGCAAACTTCCCTAGTGGAGAGGCAGGCAGACCTTTTGAGGGTACGACTCGCAAAGAAGGATATGTCCCGGATCTAACATTGCCGCCCCCGCGGCGCTAGTTCGCGCTATCGGCGCGGTACGCTCCCTATCGTTATCTGAGTCCATACGCACAGCGAGAAGGAGATGATGGAAACCGAGAGGATAGTTAGAACCTCCTAAGTGAAGGGGCGTAGCAGGTAAGCCTTACGACGCAAACAGCGACACGTCATCGGAGGACGGGCTGACCAGATTTGGGCTGTCGGAACGTAGTTTGGAGCCTGACAACGCGGTACGACACGTCGTCCTTCTTATGGTATTCGCTGTTCCACTGAACGGAGTGTGCCTTTAAAGATTAAATGTTTGATGAAGATCCATACTTCAGATACATCCTTTGCGTGTCTGCCGAACACAACTACGGCCT